GGACGGAGGAGAAACATGCCCCAGACTGATGCAGAATGCGTCCTGCTTGGGGTGGAGACCCCCACAACATCCATAAACCACCATGGCCATCAGTCTTCTGCTCAGAAGTCGTCTTTCCAAGAAAAAAGGCTCCTTCTCACCTCTGTCAGCTGCTTATTTTCCGGCTGGTCCCTGTGGCAATGCCCTGCATCCCAAAAAGCTGCTGTGGGGAGTGGGTTGACCTGTAGCATTGCATTTTCCATCCCACCGGAGAAGGGGTGGATGGTTTTACTCCTGAATTCCATCCCAGTTGCCAGTGTCCTGGAGGTGGGAGCCGGCTGCTCCCGGCGCTGGGCGTGTGCCCGGATCCGGCCTCGGAGCCCTGGCTCCCAGGGAGCCGCACCTCGCCTTGGCTGCGGCTCCCAACGCCCTCGGGGGGCCCCGGCTCCCAGTTGGGGCCTGTAGCTGTTCCTGGCGTGCCGAGAGCACAGGGACACGCTCCCACCTCTCCTCACGTGGCTCCAGGTTGAGCAAGTGGGGACAGGCTCGGCTGGAGGGACTCTCCGTTTATCCCAGGCTCCTCAGGGCTGGGATGCATGGAGAAACTCCTTTTCCTGGGGAAATCAGGCTCTGGGCACTGCTGGGAGGTCCTGGTGGGAGCTTTACCTCTGCCAACCATGAATGTAGTAAAGGGAAGAAAGGAGAGGGCTCATGGGGTGTTGCAGTTGATCCCATTGTTGCTGGGGGAATGGGAATAAAGGGAAGGACAAGTGGGACCAGCCAATGTCCCAGAAGAGGGTCCCACTGGGGGGATGATGCAACAACCTAAATCAAGCTGGTGGCAATGCCCAGAGCTGTTTTTCTTGGGGGGCCAGGATGGCTGAGCCTCCTTCCCCAGGCAGTTTAAAACTCATTACACTGTTCTCAGCTGCCTCTTGAGGCTGGGGCACCTCAGGGATCACAGGTAGAGGTGGAGGAGGGAGAAACAGGACTTCTCCAGCCCCTCTCCTGCTCCTGGCACGGTCCCATGTGAGTCATTGCTGCTGGGCAGAGAGGCCAGACAGACTCACGGCACCTCCCTCCTTCCAGCCCCATCAGGCTGGCTTACAAATCCTCTTGGAAAAGTCACATTTGGGGTGAGCCACCCCAGCCAGGGAGCCACCACAGTGCCTGGGGCCAGCAGGACACCCAAAGGTATCCACTTCATTCCCCCTGAAAGGGAAACCATGTGGCCAAGGGTGAGTTTGGATGCCTGAGTGATGGACAAAGGAAGAGGCTGCGTGTGATGGGAGAGCTGGATCCAGGGGACACTAGTGGGGACAAAGGAGCACCATAAGCACAGGACAGGGACGTATTGGTGTCACCCCAAATACACAGACTCCCACCTTCTGGGCCCACGGGCTCCCTGGGGCAGAGATAAGTCATTTATGGGAGGCAAACCAGCCCAGGTGGTTGGGTTGGGTTGGGGTGGGTGAGTGAGCTCTGGAGATCCCTTCCAGCCAACACAGAGATGGGCATCACAAAGTGTGCCAGAAAATTTGCTCCTCCAGTTTTTGGGGCCAAGCAGGAGGACACGGCCTGGGAGGACACTGCTTTGGGAGGTGTTTCCCCAGCCTTGGAAGGGAGGTTGGAATAGATGATATCCAGAGGTCCCTTCCAACCCTAACAATTCTGTGCACATGGTTTCATCTCAAGGTCTGGCAGGAGCAGGCTGGGATGTTTGTCCATAGACAACAAAACAGATGAAGCTTTTCTCTTTGCTGGCCAGGCCCGAAGGCCATCAATCAACATCCACCTTGACACAGATCCCCAAATTTGACCCACACATTTCTCAGGTCTCATCACCTTGATCAGCATCTGCACCAAGGACCCTTTATGTGACCCCTCACACCATGGAGCACCTTAAATGGTGCATCAGCACAAACTGTGCAAGACAGACTTAAATGGGAATAAAAGCCACGTTCCAGGCACCAGCACTTGCTCCATAAATTGGCAATTGTGCTCACCAAGACACCAAAGGCAAACCTCTGCCTTAACTTCACTGTAATATTGACACAGGACCTGGTGTTAAAAGGTCGTATTTGAGAGATGGCAAAAGCAGGATCAAGACCACCCCAAAACACACTCATGAAAAGCGAAGGTAGGAACTCACTGTTCCTCGAGTCATTTTCTTAGAAAGCAATCCACAATTTGTAAAGATAACCACAGATCTTTGTTTTATTTAAAAAAAAAAATGGAAGTAGAAAAACTTGGCTGAAAATACCAACAACAACAACAACATAATAATAAAAAAATAGCACTCACATGGGAAATGTTTCTGTTTTGAAAACTTTTGTCAATAGCGACAGCAATTTAAATCATCGAACAATCATCGTATAAAAACATATTTATTTAAATTAAATATTTTATGCAAACTCGTATCTACACTCATTCAAAATGCATAGAGTCACACAAAAGAGATGGAATGTATTAGCTTAAAAACTGGTGGAGTTGTGGTTGTTTTTTTTTTTTTTAAAGTATTATTTGCAATTATTATTAATACATTTTGGGGACTGAAACCAGGAAATCATAACCACGCTACTAACTAATCATTACCAAGTGCCATACAGTAAACACTAAGATTAATCATGTCATATAACTGATTTAAAATAAAGCTTCATCTTTATGAAAAGGAAGAGAACTCGAGCAATACAAAAATCCGAGGGGGGGGGAATAATGGAAGGAATAAATCAATGTACAGCTTTATTACAAGCAATAATACGCCAGAGTTAGGACAGGAATTGGGCACTGTGGCTCCAAACGTGGAGCCTGAGCCTTCAAAGGATCTTTGCTAAAAAAAAGTGTCTGCTACATCATCACCTCTTGGCCAAAATGTTTATCCCAGGACCCGTTCTCAGGGGTGGGTGCTGGGTGGATCCTGCCTTTCCAAGCCCTGATCTTACCCTTCTCCAGAATGTGCTGAGCACCCTCAGGGCTGGCTGCCCCCTTCCTGGCTGGTGTCCCATCCCCTCTGGGGTTTCCTGAGGGATGAAGCCCCCAGTCCATGATCTGGGGGCAGTGGGAAGGGGGGTTTAATCCCCGCTAATGTGGTTGGGCAGGTCAGGGCGGCTGCAGCAACACCAACACTGGAACCCAGGAACAGCTCACAGACCGTGCACCCCTTCCCTAAAACCTTCCCTTTTCCTCCCATCCCTGCCTTCTCCCCTTCCAGGAGGACTTCAAACCTGACATTTCTGGGATGCTGCCACACTTCTGGCTCCAAAACAGAGCTGGGGACGCCTCGAAACGAGGGGCAGCCTTCCTGTGCTCCCATGAGCATCTCTGCTTTGGAAGAGGGACTTGGCCAAAGGGCTTTGGCTTTGGAAGTGCCCCCCGGCCCCGTTCAGAGGCTTTGCACCAGTGGTGACCCAACAACCAAAATCCTTTACCTACGGCACCGAGGAGCCTCCATGGCCCTGGCGGTTCAGACTCGGTCACCCTGAGGGGTGGCGAGCGACGGCCCTGGGGGACAACGCCCCGTAACACTGTGTGGGTCCTTCCAGGTGGCCCCAGCCCGGGCTCTTAGGACACGCTGTAGTTGTTGTAGTAGGTGGCCGTGGCGTCGGCCAGGACGGAGATGAGGCTGTTCTCAGAGGTGTGGGAGCTGCCGGACGCTGGGACTTGCCCGTTGACCAAGACCCCGCTGTGGTGGTCGCCGTGGTGGCCGGGGTTGTTGAGATACTGGTCGAACTCGTTGCGGTCCATCTCCCCCAGCAGCTCCGCCTGGCTCAGCTGGTCCAAGGTGTCGAAGCCGTGGTGGTCGGGCGGTGGGGAGAGCTGGCCCAGGTGGGCATGGAGGCTGGGGGCAGGCAGGGAGGGGAAGGCAGGTGTGTAGTAGCTGGGAGGAGGAGGAGGAGGAGGAAGGGCAGGGCAGCTGGAGGACGGGGAGATCATGCAGGTGGCCGGCTGCGACATGGGGCTGAGCGGGTGGTGGTTGCACGGGAGGGAGTTTCCGTACTCCGGGGAGTAGGTGGCTCCGGCGAGGTGGGAGCGGTGGTGCTCGTCGGGGCAGGGCGAGGAGAAGAAGCTCTGCTCGGGGTCTATGGCATCCAGCGGGGACATCTCCGGGGGGGTGGGAAGCCCATAGGGATAGGTGTCCACGCTGGCGCTGCTCCCGCTGCCCGGAGCCTCCCGGTAGCCCCGGACCGCCGGGAGCCCTGGGCGAGGCGGGTACTCACCCGGCCCCTCTTTGTCCCCCCCAGCCCTGCTGCAGGTCCTCTTCTCCGGCACCGTGTTCTGGTCCCGTGCCAGGCTGCCCAGCAAAAACCCCGGGTCCACCCTCTTGCCGATGCGCTTGACCTGCTTCTTCCTCCGGGGCCGGTATTTGTAGTTGGGATAGTCTTGCATGTGCTTCACCCGCAGCCGCTCGGCCTCCTCCACGTAGGGACGCTTCTGAGAGAGGCTCAGTGCCTTCCAGGACTTCCCTGAAATGGAGAACACATTCCCTTAGCACCCAGAGCTGCTCCTCAAAGCTTGCAGTTGCTCAATCCAAGGGCAAGGCGTGGGGTCCCAATATCCGAGCTGGCACACGTGGGGGACACATCCCACAAACCCCACAGGGGGATAAAACAGCAATGGAGAAGGGGGGATTGAAGCCAGTGTAGGTTCTCCAACTCCCTCCATCCCAAGTCCTGAGCCAAGTGGGCTCAGGGTTAGTAAACAGTAAATAGTAAATAAATCCAGGCAGTTAAACTCTCCCGGTTCCATGGCCTGTGGAGCAGGGACAGCCAAAGCCATGCCTGGCTGAGCAGGGGGGTCAGGACATGATGTCCTTTAATGTGCCCCAGCCTGTGCCCTGCCAGGACTTGCACCAGGGCGTCAGAAAACCTGGGCACTATGACACCTGGTCTGAACAACCTGGTCTAGTGGAAGGTGTCCTTGCCTGTGGCAGGGGGGTTGGAATGAGCTGATCTTTAAGGTCTCTTCCCACCCAAACCATTCCATGACTCTGTGATTCTGTGACCTCGCTGCTCCCTGTTTGAGATACACAAAACGTCACCAAAACACAGGAGAGAGAAGCAGCGCTGGGATGGGGGGTCGTATTCCAAGAAGAGGCTGTCCCAGGCTGCTCCTCAGGGTAAGGGGGAGAAATGAGGATACAGATCAAAGCCTTTGATGCCTTCCCATGGCCTGAGACAGCAGAAATTACACTAACAAGCTGAGATGCTGCCTGGCAAAGCAGCGAGGAGAAAACCCAAACCACCAAAGAAAACACCACAGAACTGTCCAGGGAAACACAAACTTTGGATAAGAGGTTGGGCAGCAAAAAGCTGTGTTGCAATTCGGGCAGCACTTTCTCAGGCTGTCTGGGCTGGTTATTTTGGTTTGCCCTCTTGGTTTCACATCAAAATTGGGGATTGGGAGAAGGGAAAAATGGAGGATGGGGAGTGGGAAACAAATGTGTGCTCAAAATGGGATTTGATCCCCCAGTGAAACAGCAGAAATTCAAAATACACACACACACACACAGCCTGGCTGTGCAACACTGGGTGGGTGAGTGAGGTGGGGACAAAGTGGGACAGCAGAGACAGGCCAGGAAAATTTGGGGGTCCCTCCTGGCACGGCAAGGCAGCACCTGCAGGGTTTGTACCCGAGGGGTGGCAGGGTGTGCACAGGGGTGTCTGTCCCCTGGGGTGCAGGACGCCATCAGGTTTTACACTCTCCAAGCATCCCAGAGGATATTGTCCCAGGACGCTGGACCTGGGCTGGCTTTGCACCCACAGCAGGGCCAGGTGGGTGCAGGGGTGCCCACCTGCTGTGTGCCAGACCAGGTCCCCGTCTGGGCAGGGTTTGGACACCCAGGGATGGCCGATGGAGCACAGGGTTCCCAGTCCGGGGTACTGGACCTGAATAGGATTTGCACCCCTGAGAATGAGCAGGTGGGTGCCTGGGTTCCTACCCCAGGGCACTGGATTTGGATGGGATTTGCACCCCAGGGATAGCGGGTGGGTGCCTGTGTGCCCACCCCAAGGTACTGAATCCGGACGGGGCTTTCATTCCAGGGAGGGCTGGGTGGGTGCCCGAGTGTCCACCTGGGATACTGAATCCAGACAGGGTTTTCACTCCAGGGATGGCCGGTGAGTGCCTAAGTGCCCATCCCGGGGCACTGGATCCGGGCAGGATTTGCAGCCTGGGAATGCCCTGGTGGGCACACGGGTGCCCACTTTAAGGTGCTGAATCCAGGCAGGATTTGCACCCCAGGGATCGCCGGTGGGTGCCTGGAGGCGCCCCGGGGCACTGAGTCCCGAGAGGGTTTGCACCTCGGTGGGTGCCTGAGTGCCCACCCCGGGGTAGTGAATCCGAACGGGATTTGGACTCCATGGGATGCCTGGGAGGGTGCCCACCCCCGGCCACAGGATCTGGGCAGGGTGTGCACCCCATGGAGTGCCTGGGAGGGTGCCTACCCCCGGCCACAGGATCCAGGCAGGTTTTGTATCCCATGGGATGCCTGGTTGGGTGCCCACCCCGGGGCACTGGATCCGGAAGGGATTTACACCCCATGGGATGCCTGGGTGGGTACCCAGCCCGGCGCACTGAATCCAAACGGGATTTGCACCCCATGGAATGCCTGGGTGGATGCCCACCCCGGGGCACCGGATCCGGGCAGCGTTTGCCCCCCGGGGGATACCCGGGTGGGTACCCACCCTCCCACTCCCTCCTCTCCCCCAGCCCCCCCCAAAAAACCCGCGCAGCCCCCGCTGCTCACCGAGCATCTTGCTGAGCTCCGCGTTGTGCAGGTCGGGGTTCTGCACCGCCAGCCGCTTCCTCTCGTCCTTCGCCCACACCATGAAGGCGTTCATGGGCCGGCGGATGCGGCTCTCGGAGCCCTTCTCTCCCTGCGGGGCTCGGGGGGGCGGCCCCGGGGACAGCCCCTCGCCCGCGTCCCCCTCCAGCCGCTCCGGCCAGGGGTACGTGCTGAGCAGCGCAGCCATGGCCCCCCCCGGGCCCCCCCAGCCCCCGCTGCGCTGCCCTCGGGGTCCCCGCGCAGTCCCAGCCTCCCGCCCGGCCTCTCCCGTATTTATGAGCTCCTTGGAAAAAGCCTCCTCCAATGACACCGAAGGGACTCCGCTGCTCCTCCTTGTTTGCAAACTCCTCAGCCCCGGCCGGGATGGTGCGGGGAGGAAAAAGTTCTCCCCACCCCTCCGCCCGGCACCCCCCCCGGGGGAGGGGAGCACACCCCCAAGACCCCCCCTTCTCCTTCCCGTCCACCCTCTCCCCTTTATTATTGTTATTTTTCCTTATTTTGCCCGCTGAAAGGAGTAAGGAGGGAGCTGGAAATGTCCCTGTCCCCCCCGCCCCAACAGCCTCGCTGCCCGCGACACCTCAGAGACCCTCAAACTTTAAAGGCTCGAGGGTAACGCAGAGACAGCAGACGAGGGCACTGAAAACTTGGGAATGAAAGGAAAATGGCCCCAAAAGAAGGTTCCCACAGGGGTGAAAAATGTCCCCCCCAGAGCCCTCCCCAGGATTTGGGAGCTGCAGGGTCCCTCTTTGCCTGGGGAAATCCCACAGTCCCACAGGCAGGGACGTTTTTCCCCACTCCAGCTTTAACCACCAGTCCAGGCTGTGCTTTGCCACCCCATGTGGGTTTCACCCCAAATTTCCAAGTCCCCTCCTGCGGGATGGAAACTGGGATGCAGTGAACCTGCTGGTGGGCGCTCGTTCAGCCTGGTCGGGCTCCTGAGAGAGCTTTTCAGGGGCAAACCAGGCAGGGATGGGGCTGGATACAGCCCAGAGAGGCTCCAGCATATCCCAGTCAGTCTCACTTGCCCACCCCTGGACACTGGGAGACAAAGGATCTTTTCCTTTCAGCTGCATTTTATGGAGTGCTGCCCCATCCTGCAAAGCCGCACCAGCCTGGATGGGATGGAAGCCCCAAAGCCACGCAGTGGCATTTCCCACTAACCCCAGTTTGGTGCTCATGAGGGTGGGAAAGTCCTCCAAGCAGCTTTCCCCTCACTAGGACAAAGGATCTCCAGGAAGGCGATGGGACCGAAAATCCCCAGCTGGCTGCCCTTTCCCGGCTCATCCCTGCAAACCTGCCCTGAGGAATATATTTAGTCGCTGGATTCCTTTATGATTCTGACCCCCTGACATGGGCTGCAGGGCTGCAGCGGCTCCACTGTGACTGATGGTGGATTTCCTCTCCCTGCTGCCAGAAAACCAGTGGGACGGGGTGCGGGATGGGAAGGCGTTTCCTCGGGCTGGGTGCCGCTGCCCCATCCAACCCCAAAGAGGGGGGAAAACCCCGACGCTGATCCCAAGCCGGGATGTTTGTGCAGCTTTCCCACGTGCCTGGGTGTTCCTATTGACTCTTGTGAGATTAGGAATGATGGAGAGAGCGGAGTGTAAATGTGAGCAGGATCCGCCTGGGCTTCCTGGTCTCTCCCTTCCCTTTGCACAGGAGCGGGATGGCTCCGGTTTCTCATGGATTACAGTGATTTTGGGGTCTGGAGAGCTGGGGTCTGCCAACTTCCCTTGAAGTAGAAGCAGCAACTGCCCTTTCTGAGCTTTTCCCCGGGACCCAATCAAAACCCTGCGGAAGCAACAACATTTTCCAGAGGAACTGATTAAATCTATTAAGCTATTTACAAGTGGGCTCCATCAGAGCTGTGTTATCTGGGAATACAACAGGAAGGCAACTTCTCTTAAATCTAAAAGGCGCAGGAGATTTCCTGGTCTTGGGACAGATTTATAAACCCTTTACACACACACACACAAGGCCTGCACAGAGCAGCTGCCTTTTATCTGGGATTTGGAGCTGGGCACGCTCCTGGGGACAGCTTGTCCTGTCCCAGCAGCTCCAGTTCTCTCCCAAAGTCCTGTCTCACGCCTGGAAGTGCTGGGATGGGGCAGGGAGGGAGGATGCCAAAGCCTCCATCCTACCCTGAACAGGTCTTCTGGGTGTATTTTGCAACTGGGATTTGCTGCAGAGCTTGGCAATGAGAAGTGGGGAAAAAAACCCTGTAACATCCCTAATCCTTTTGACTTCCCTTAGCTGGGGTTGAAGTGCCCTGAAAAAGAGGCTGCCTGGGGTTGCAAGGTTTTATTATGAATAGGGTGGTATTTTGGATATGGTGAATACGGTGCATGGCTCAGCCTTATTTATGAACCCTCAGGATGCTCCGGGCCTGGATATCATTAATATAAAACCAGCACCTCTGTTGAGGCCCCAGAGGCCAGAAATTTTTAGTAGAACACCTCCCCTCTAGGGAAAAGGATAGGAATGGATGAATTCCACTCAATCCCTTTTACAGGACTGCCTCCTCCCTGCCCCGTGTTTCCACATTTTGCAGGATGGGAGGAAAGGTTTAGGGGGGAGGATAAAACCCTGAGCAAGGACAGGACCTGCATCCACCTCCTGCCTCTGCTGCCCAAGCCTGGAGGCTCTCGGAGCACCTCACTGGGTGTTCCTGGTCCTCACCATTCCCTCCACATCCTAGGGGTGACATTTGATCTCCCACAGGTATTATAAGGGTTAACTTAAGGCTTTTCAAAATTCCCTGAGACACAAACTGGGACTTCTGTGGGGTCAGAGCACAAGGAAATCCAGCAAAATATTCATTGTTTGGATTTTCTCCTTTCCCAGGGCCCCCCTCCAAAATTTTAAGTGCAAACACTACTACTACTACTACTACTAATCACCTTTTTTTCCCCTTCTCCCCCTCTCCCACAGCACCTGGCATTCTGATGGCATTAGTAAGAAGGGTTTCATTCTGCACCCTGCCTAAAATGCTGGTTAAACCTGTCCTGGAGGAAGCTCCTGTGTTACATAAAGGGGTGAAAATGCCACCTCTTCATTGCCACCGTATCTGGGTAATTACCACCAGGCTGGAAAAACTCAGCGTTACCTTTTCCACGCTCACCTTCCCTGCTCTGGTGAGAGGCTTCACCTGTATCTGGGGCACAGGAAGCAGCAGAGCTCTCCCAGGGCTTTGGGAACAGGGAAATTACGGCTAAAAGCTAAAATAGACGGAGCAGACAAAGGGGGGAAGAAAGCTTTGTTCTCCCCATTTTCACGGCTGGGGAACAGTGGCAGCAACTCCCCTGGGTCAGGCAGAGAATTAGTGGCTGAACCCAGTGTGGAATGAGCATCCTCACCCTTTAAAAATATCCCCCTTTTTTTTGGGTGGATCCCACATCTGGCTTTTTACTTGGCTTGCAAAGTGCAGGTTTATTTTCACCACTTCCCCTCCCCCCCCAAAATTCAGGGACATAAAAATGTGTGAGAAAGTGCAAATCCTAAATTAGCTCAATATTCACATGTTCCTTAATTATTGATGAAACTCTCAGGCTCCCAAGGGGAGTTTTTGCACAGACAGCTGGGGGTTCCCAGCAGAAGAGCTGCAGTTCCCAACCCTGCCCACTGCCCATCCTCCCTGATTCCACCAGGTTTTCCCCAGGGATCGCTACCTGCACCATTTATTTTCTAGGAAAAAGAACCAGAGCTTTCCCATTATACAAAAAAATGCAGACAAAAACCTCAAAGATGCTAAAATTTTCAGGAAGCACACATGGTGCTGAAAATTTCTATTTTTAAAATGCAGCTTTAAGTTTAAAAAATATATATATTTTAGTGCCTTTAGGTCAAAAGGAACCATCAGGAGTTTCCCTCTTACAGTTTAAAATTTATAAAAATGGATTAAGATATGAATAAAAAAAAAAACAACTTTGAGTGACTCAGAAGCGAATTTTAAGTTCTGACTTGCTGAGAAATGGAGCTTCAATTTGTTTTTGTAACAATATTCCCGCTTCTGCCACCACAAAAATGTATATTTTTCCTCTATTTCCCAGTCTCACATCACTAAAAGTTTGCTGATCCAAGAAAAAGTTGGTTTATCCCTGGATGGGACAGGTACAGAGACAAAAGCCTTGGTTGCTGTCCCAAGTTCTCTGAGCTCTGATCCTCCCTGGAGGTTCCTGCCCAGGAATGAGGAATTAAGCAAAGGATGGCTTTGGATGTCCACCTTATGCTGCTCGAGGATACACAATTCCAAGATCTTTTTTTCCAGCTAGGCGTGATGCTGGGCAGTGCTTCCAAGAGACTTTGTGTGGTTTTCCTCTCTTCTTGGAGCTTCCTTCCTCCTCTTAGTGTTGGCAGGTTTGGAGGTTTCGTGACGTAAATGGTGCTTTTTGAAGGTGGATCCTGCAAGAACTTCAGTCCCGTGTGTTTAAACAGGACAAACTCGGTTCATTCCATCGGAGCAAGAGGCTCATTTTTGTTGCTGAGCTGATGATGTGAAGGCAGTGAGAACCAGGGCTGCTTGAAGGGGAATTGCACCAAGGAACATGATGCTGAGCTGTTCCCAAAATCATTTAAGTTGGAAAAGCCCTCAAAGATCACCGAGTACAACCATTCCCCAGCACTGCCAAGGCCACCACTGACTCATGTCCCCAAGTGCCACATCCACACGGCTTTCAAACCCCTCCAGGGATGGGGACTCCACCCCCGCCCTGGGCAGCTGTGCCAGGGCTGGAAAACCCTTTTGGTGAAGAAACTGTTCCCAATATCCAACCTGACCCTCCCCTGGCACAGCTTGATGCCATTTCCTCTCATCCTGTCCCTTGTTCCCTGGGAGCAGAGCCTGACACCCCCTGACTCTCCCCTCCTGTCAGAGAGGCACAGAGTGAGAAGGTCCCCCCTGAGCCTCCTTTTCTCCAGGCTGAGCCTCCCAGCTGCTCCTGGTGCCCCATCCCCAGCTCCATGCCCTTCCCTGGACACGCTCCAGCCCCTTCAATTCACAATTTCCAGCAGCATCTTGGATACCATCAAATGGACTCAAATTCACTTAAACCCAAGGGTAAGTGGCTCTGAAATCTTTAAAAGTGTCTTGCATTTATGTTTTAAACTCACACCCTGGTTTCTACTACAGGGCACCTGAGGACATGGCTCAGTGGTAGCCTTGGCAGTGCAGGGGGAACACTTGGACTCGATGATCTCAGAGGGCTTTTCCAACCTTAAGGATTCCATGATTCTGATTTACACTGGCTGTGTGTAAAGCACTAGAGCTAGAATATCTTGGAAGGAAATTCCAGGAATGGTGCCTGTTCCACAGATGGGGGTTGTCACAGAGTGCACCAGTGTGGAATCCCATCTGTGGCTCCAAGGAAAGCTCCACACTCAGACACACCAAGATCAAAACTCCTAAAGCCCATAAAGCTCACGCAGACTTTGGTCTAATGCTGGTACCAGGACTACTTTTCCATGGCCTCTGTTTCCCAGGATAGTTCAGTGCTTGCAGGATTTCCAAGCACCTTTGCTACTGCTGCTCTAACATTTCACTTGCAAACCACGTCAGCGGCCGTGGAGCCCACAGGGAATTCCGAGGATCAAAGCAAAGAACAACCCCTAAACCTGCAAAGAATGGAATAACTCATGAGAATCCATCATGTTGGAATGTTGCCAGTGCAAAAAGGAAAATCTTCTTCTCTGTCACTGGTGACCTGGGGTTACCAAAACCGAACACGTTTCAATATCTGTGCTGCGTGTGCATCGTCCTCCGCTTGGGCGTGAAAGCAGAGCCCCGTTTTGCTCAGTTTCTAGGTAATTCCACTTGGAGGAACATCATTTTGTGCTGCAATGTGGGAGTACAACGGATAAATTAGGGACAATGGAGAAATGTGTAACAAAAGGCCCCGTTAGTTTAAAAGTACGATTTTCGCGGAAATGAAACCAAGTCGTTCCTTTTGTGCTCACATTCTGCTAATTCCACCACTTGGGCAGTGATGTCATTCTTTTTCTTATGCTTTCTAAAAAAGACCTTCTTGCCAAACCGGGGTTTGCTTAAAACTGAACTCACAACCCACTACAAACAAAAAAAATTAAATATAATTTATTACTTTGAAACGTGTTCCTGTTGTTCCAATTTCACTGGGCAGTATCTTGTAAGAAGAGCCTTTCATTTGAATAACACAGCGAGGGCTGACCACTAACACAGAGCAGGGCACTTAAACGAATTGCTTGTGTCAAATACAAGCAATTTATGATTTATGATTATTTATTTATTTATTTATTAGGATTTTTTCCCCCCTACAACCACACGCAGAGCTTGAGGCACATTACAATCCCACATTTCCTGGGATAAAGTGCCATGTATTTCTTGTAGAAAGAGAGAATCTTCCATTTGTAGCTCATACTTCCATCTGAGCCAGATTTAAATTCCTGGGTATACTGCACTTAACTGCAGTGACACCATAAATTTAAAGATTTATTCCCGGTTTTACTCTTTCTGTAACTGGTACTGGAATGTGGCCAAACACCCATAAGAATTAGCACACAGAAACTGGAAGATTAATAGAGGGAACAAACAAACAAGTCCAGCAGGATTTGGAGAAGGAAACCTTATTCCTTGACTAGCACCTTTTGCAATTGAAATCCCAGAGAGGATGTGAAGTTCAGCTGCATAAGAGTTAAAAAAAAAAAGAAATTAATTAGAAACAATCAGACTTTTGGATTCTAATAAACAAAAATTCAAACTGTGAAGTTCAGCTGCTTGAGAGTTAAAAAAATTTGAAAACATTCAGACTTTTGCATTCTACTAATAAACAAAAATTCAAAGAGGTAACATAAAGATTATTTTTTCACCTCAGTCATGGAGTTTACTCCCAACTTCAATGCAACCTGATGGCATTAAGTGGTTGTTCATTTAAGGAAGCAAGGAATAAGCAGGATTATATTGGACAATAATTGTATTTCTCCTGAAAAGGAGATGCTTTAAGGGTTAAAAACCACTGGCATGTGACATGAAACACAAAGAAAGGCATCTTGTTCTCCCATACAATAAGTAAAACTACAGTAATTTTGCAGCAATGAATGAGCATGTCCTGAGGGCAAAAAAAAAAAAGGTGCACTGGAAACCAAGAGATCTTAAAAAAAGGAAGAGTTCAGCTGCAACTCAAACACCCAAAGCCATGTGGTCTGTGCTGCAGATGAAGTTCCTTCCACTGGACAATAAAGGCAGCTGAAGGAAATTTTTTTCATATTAACATCTGCATCTTGACAATGTTTCTCAAACCCTGTTAAGCAACTCCACTGAGCTAAGACAATATAAAAATGTACCCATTTTATTCAGCAGAGCAGCCAATGGGGTGTTTTAGATTTACACTGATGAGACACAGCCAGGCCTTAATGAAACAAGCAGCTAATGGATTTGAATTCTGGATTAGGCCAGGACAACTGGCTGGTTTTCAGGGATGTGCTGTCCATTTGCTGTGGCCGAAGGAATATCAGAGCAGGACACCAGGATGGTGAATCCTTCTTCCCATTCCACCACTTCCAAGCTCACCCATCTCTCCTGACAGCTCTTAACTGAGAGATATTAACACATCAAAATTCATGCTGACCGTTCAAGATCTCACACAAAACCTCTCCTGGCAGTGCTAAGTTCCAGCATTACTTATTTCCAGGCTCACAATTAGGAACAAGCTCTAATTTGGTTATAAATCTAAACTGCAAGTTTTCAACGTGGAAGTGGCAATACTAACGCATCTGACTGCTTTGAAAATCTACTGGTCTCTTAATTTCAGAAAAAAACTTGGTCTATCCAACTTCCTGAATGCCAGATGCATCACTGAAGAGACCCTGAATATTGCCTGAGAATGACAGATTTAGATATGGTTAATAAATGATATGGTTAATGCACATCTAAATAAGAATATACGGTTAATACACAGTTCCTTTAGCTTTGGTGCAAATTTACAGCTGTTTCACAACAGTTAAACAACTGGTCTGAAAACACAGGGAGGCATTTTTATTTCATCCTCTAGTACTGAAACTCGGCTGTAAACCTTTAATCAGGGTAAGTATTTTGGGAAGAAACAACATTCATTTTAGTTGTAAGAGGAGATCAATGAAAAAATCAGACACCACTTTGCAAAAATCAGTGAAAAAACACAAACAGCTTTGCAAACCCCCTCCTGTTTCCAGAAGCAGAGCTGGGCTCTCACAAATGAAAACAACTTTAATAAAAAAGGCAGTAGTTTGGTGCCTTTTTTTGCTATTTTTTCCTAGATTGGGAAAAACACAGTCAGTGTGAAGCAGCAGAAAGTAGTTCCCTGCCTTTCACAGTCTGAACCATGTGCTGGGTCCCTTTTTAATGTGGCACTGAAGCTCATGTTGGCCCATCACCACGTTCTCCTTTGGAAGAGACACTTGAACCCAGGCCGTGGTCCCAGCTGGAGGTGGAGCACCGTGTTCTATCCTGGGACACGACGTGTTTGCTGCTGAGCTTACACAGAGTCCTCCTCTAATTCACCTCAGAGCCCCAGCATGACTCTGAAATGGTCAAATGTGCTTGCAGTGCTTCTTTTTCTTCCTGGGGGCTCCTTCCACACACTCCTCCACCTCCTCCTTTTGCCTTTTGTGTTTCTTCTTATGGCGTTTCTTCTGCTTTTCCTCCTGGTCCCTTACACCGAGATCCTCCTCATCAGCTATTCCCACATAAATTTCTCCATAGCCCATATTTTCATCACAACTGGTGTTTTCTCCTTCGTGCTGCTCTTTATGTTTCCTCTTCTTTTTCCCTCTGTGACATTCATTTAATGGAGTATCCAGTTCCTCCCCATCCACACCACCAGTTTCAGGCTGTTTCTCGCAATGCTCTGTCCTTTCTGCCTCCTCATCTCTCTTCTGCTTCTTCTTTTTCTTCTTCACTTTGGTTTCCAGCTCTTCCACAGGATCCAAAGCTTCATCAGCCGTTGGGCTGGAATTATCCACCTTTGTTTCTGGTTCCTTCTGAGATCCCTTCAGCTTTGCCATGCGCTTGGCAAAATATTCCTGCACAGTGAGAACGCTCTTCACTGTATTGGAACCATCTGCAGGGTCAGAGGGCCAGTCCTTCTTCTCCCTGTCTTCCTGAGACTCAGGATCAGTAATATCCTCCTGCAAGTGAACAAAGAGAAGCTGGAGTGAGAGTCAGGAATAATGGCTTTAAATATAATTTGATTTTCGCACACTAAGAAGAAAAATATTGAAATGTGGTGCTTTGAAAATTAACTGCAAAAGTTTAGACTTGGGTGGAAGTTAAGCAGCCCTTATGTAAAAGATGCTGTAGGTTTAGAGGTGGAAGGATGAAAGGCAGCGAGAGAATACAAAAGAAGACAATTTTCAGTTGACTTCAATTCCTTATTTAACCTACTCCTGTGCAACTCACTGCAGATTGAGTTTACTACCTCCATACTCAGTGCATTACACTCCCTTTACAAAAGCACATGTCTCTATAAGACATAAACCAACATGAAAAATAATCCAGCACAATCCCTTAGCCCGTGGCACAAAGGAAATCCCATGCCTGGAATCCCTCTCCAGCATAGGGCTCCTGATCCAGGGAGCAATCCAGCACTGAGGCACCTCTTCCATCTTCTCTGATCTTCAGAAATGTTTGTTTCGTAGCTGCTTCACTGTCATTGTGTCCCAGATGTTGTTATTTAAACAGGCTCCATTTGATCACAAGTTATCAGATGGCAAAAACAACATCACAGGTTACATCTTACAAGGCTTCTGCAGACGTGAAATGAAGAGCTGCTCAGCGCTGGTTGCAGGTGAGGAGTTATTAAAAGAGCCTTGTATCTAGAAAGTAAATACACAACTAAAAGCAAAGTATACCTATGGAGTGGATGTTTTGCATGGCACAAACAGAACTGACTCTGAAAAAGCAACAAATGCAACAAGTTGAAAATATATAATTTGCTAAATTGTCTGTGATTTGCAAAATAAACAAGCCAAACAGGCAGCTGAAATTAAGGCTTGTTCACATACATAGCAAAGCACCCAAAAAAAAAGCCTCTGTGGCTTTTGCTGGGCAAAAGTAATAAATGACTCTTGGAAATGTCCCAGATTTTCAAAGAATCACAGGATCATTAAGGGTGGAAAAGACCTCCAAGATCATCAGGTTCAACCTGTGACTGATCCCCACCTTGTCCCCCAGCCCAGAGCACTGAGTGCCACATCCAGTCATTCCTTGGACACCTCCAGGGATGGGGACTCCACCACCTCCCTGGACAGCCCCTTCCAATGCTTGACAACCCTTTCCACAAAGAAATTCCTCCTGATGTCCAACCTGAACCTCTTCTGGCACAGCTTGGGGCTGTTTCCTCTTGTCCTGTCCCTTGTTCTCTGCCTGACCCCCTCTGGCTCCCCCCTCCTGTCAGGGAGTTGTGGAGAGCAAAAAGCTCCCTCCTGAGCCTCCTTTTCTCCAGGCTGAGCCCCCCCAGCTCCCTCAGGTCATTAATTTATTTTAAAACCTTGTTCATACTGCAGGTAACCAAACACCCCCCTCTGGATGGGAAAAGCTGAGCCGGTCAGGATGGAGAAGAATCCTCACCAACATCTGGCCTACAACCTGTTCTTGAAAGAGAGCTAAACCACAGCTATTGCAGCCAAATATGGTGAGTATGACTGAGATAATTCCCTGTTTTTCCATTCATAAATGCACTGAGAGATAAGAGCATCCACTCTGTCCATGCAGCCTGAATGTGAACTGAAGGGACTATAAAACACCACCAAATCAGGGCAGTAATATTTCACAGCCACTTTTACTGCCATAAACTGATACCCAGGGAAGGCCAGCAGAGAACTGGGAGATATAAACCCACTTATCTCCACACTTTACAGTTATTGCATGATGGTGGAGATAAGTGATCTGGTTCTCTTTGGAGCATCGTTAAACTTGCTGCCTGAAGTGGGGTTTATCAGGGTTTGTGAGGAAGGTTTTCCAGGTCTGACTCCTCTGCATCCATAACCTTTGCTCACATGAGCAGGAATGCAAAAATTGGTGTCATTAGTGATGCATTACGAGTGGATTTCCTCACACATCTGCTTTCAGGAGAGCTGTTCCAGTGGAACGAAAGTAAGGCTGCACTTGAGATTCCAGGAATGTTTGTGTGGGCACTTACCAAAATCAGGTACTTTTCTTGTAGGAATATGTTGTAGTGTTCCTGCAGGTATATGGAGTAACTGAAACTATTTGACTTCTGGCAGAGAAGCCTGCAAAGAGGTTGTTGAACATGGGGAAAAACAGGATGTGTCCACACACATCCACATACAGGTGACATTTGAAAGGGGAGCTGCAGCAGAAGTTTGACAAGGCAAAATTTCCAGGATAAATGGATTGAGCTACGTTTACAGTAACGCTGTTTTTAATAAGACCTACCTCCTAATCCAGCAAGCACAGAATCCCAGTGCATAACTGAATCACTTAGGCTGGAAAAGACCTCCAAGATCATAGAGTCCAACCTGTGATTGATCCCCACCTTGTCCCCCAGCCCAGAGCACTGAGTGCCACGTCCAGTCGTTCCTTGGACACCTCCAGGGGTGGGGACTCCACCACCTCCCTGGACAGCCCCTTCCAAAGCCTGACAATCCTTTCCAAGAAGAAATTCCTCCTGATGTCCAACCTGAACCTCCCCTGGCTCCCCCCTCCTGTCAGGGAGTTGCAGAGCCAGAAGGTTCCCCCCTGAGCTTCTTTTTCTCCAGGCTGAGCCCCCCCAGCTCCCTCAGCCTCTCCTGGTGCTCCAGCCCCTTCCCCAGCTCCATTCCCTTCCCTGGACATGCTCCAGCCCCTCCATGTCTCTCTTGTCTGAGGGGCCCAGAGCTGCCCCCAGCACTGGAGGTGCCCCAGCAGTGCCAACAGAGGGACGGGCACTGCCCTGGACCTTTGGCCACACCAGGGCTGGTCCAAGCCAGGTGCCATTGGCCTCCTTGGCCAGCTGGGCACACCCTGTCTTGTCTTCAGCTGCTGTCAACCAGGACCCCCAAGTCCTTTTCCAGCTTTCCAGCCACTCTGCCCCAGCCTGGAGCTGCAGGGGGTTGTTTGTGACCAAGTGCAGGACCCGGCACTTGGCCCTGTTGACCCTCCCACCATTGGCCTCAGCCCACGGATCCAGCAGATCCAAACCTGCTGCCCTGCAGCAGCTCAGTGAAACTGGGCATTTTCCCTCTACCCACAGCAGGATTTTGACACCCTGGATTGCAAAAGGACAAACAGTCTCCCAGGTTTGCAGCCAGAACAGTTTCCCTCCCCACCCCAAGATGTAAAACGCACTTGGGACCAGAACACCAGTCACCCCCTGGCCAACCAGGAAAGGATTTTCTTATTCCCTTGGTGATTTCAAGTCCTGACAACTTAATTACTGTAATTGAAGGCAAATATTACTTGAACTCTACACGTTTCTTTTTATAAAATACATTAGGCATAAAAACAAATGTTCCTTTGGTTAAGCAGAGGAGTTCAGAAGGTTTGCACGAGCCCAGAAAATAAGAACCTTGCTCAGAAACTCCTCTATTGATAAGAATTTTAATAACCACGGGCCACTGAGCACAGAACTAACAGGGCATGGAGACAAGCAAAAAGGTGCCAACCCTAGAAAACCTCTGGGTTTAGGAAAAGCTTATGTAAAACCATAAATCACCTGGAAGGGCTGTTAAATGCCAAAGTGTTCCCGCTTCCGTGATGTACCTGTCCTAGTAGCCATGGGAACACTGCTGAACTCCAAACTCTCTCAGTTTATGCAATTCCTCCCCTCCTTGACCCGACACACACATAGAAAAAATTCAAACAAAAATAAGAAATGCATCCTTAAATGTGTATTGTGCTGCTGCAACTTCTGAAAAGCAATTTTTCACCAGATTAAAGACACTCCTACTCCTAAAAAATGATGATCGTGTAAAAGGGAAAGAGCAATTGTGCTGTAAGTGGTGGAAAACCTGAATATTGGGCTTTGGAGTTCCATGAGTTCCAAAATTGCCAATGAAATCATTCTGGGAGGATGAATTAAAAGGAACTGGGAATCCTGGTCTCCGGAGAATTGGTAGGATGGTCCCGAGCAAGAGAAAACAACTGCCTGAAACTCGGTGTTAAATGTGGAATGATTAAGAGGAAACAATAGGAAAATTCAAGGAGAGGTTGGGAAGGGCACAGGAAAAGATGAAGGTCAATCACAGCCAGAAGTCCCCTGTAAATATCATCTGTTTATGCAATTAAATGTATGGAAAATAATCTGAAGGACATAAAGCACTTTATGTACTGCCGTGTTTTCTTCACTTGCTGATTAAATCATTAAGTTAGGACACTAATCTTATAGAGGGAAATCCTGGTTCCCTTGAATCCTGCAGGATCAGGATTGCATCTCTAAGGCATCACACTCTGAAACTACCTTCCAGCCACAGTTACTTAGTGAAAGAAAAAACAGAGGATTATGGCTAATTACCAAAGCAATTCACATCACATCATGAAAACACTCTGGCAAGAGCAGAAGCCTGAAGTGGAAAGGATTTAGACATCTCATGAAACCCAACCTGGTCTAGTGGAAGGTTCCCTGCTCATGGCAGGGGGTTGAAATTAGATGATCTTTAAGGTCCCTTCCAACCCAAAGCATTCTGTGATTCAATGATAATTAATATTCAAAAAGTAAAACTGCACCTGCACATTACTCTGTGAGGAAAAGTGAGATATAACCAACCAGCAAAGCAAAGGGTGTCGGTACATGAGCAACAGAAGCAGCTTGGATTAATTCAGAGACTCTTCAGAGTGCAAGGATGTCTTTTTTAGCACTTAAAAGCTTAGAATAGGGGAATAAAAAAATCTCCTATACAGTCTCAGATCTGCCACATATGAACTACTGTTATTTAAGCTTTTGCTTCCTCATTTGGAAAGGAGGGGGTACTAATTCACACCAGTTTTGTGAGCTCCAATTCACAAAAATGACACAAAAGGCAAAGGCAGAATAAATCTAAACTCTAATTTCAGTAGATTCTCACTTAAGTGGTTTGGATGAAGAACATGGAGCCTGAGTTACATGGAAAACACATCATCATTCATAGCTTTAAAATGCAACCACCCCTTCCTGGCTGAACCACGGCCATCACCTACTTTCTGGTTGAGA